GGATTTTGTGACTGACATTGTTGGTGGGGACTTCGGGGAGGATGGTGATGAAGATGGTGGTGATAGAGGTGGAGGTTTCAGGACTGGATTTAAGATGGCACCAGTAGTTGAAAGGATACTGGCTGATTTTGTTACTGTTGGTAAGGCAAAAGATCTGGACCTCAAATACCTGCATAGAAAGATTCGAGGGGAATCCTGTAGGAAATGTTAAGGATTTTGAAGATCCAAGTTGATTCTCATTGGCCGATTTTTTTCAAGTCAATGTTTTTTCCCTCCTCCAGTCCACTCCTCTGTAGCATGTCCCTTTCTTGAACAATGTTAATTCATAAACCTATTACTATGGAGCAAATACATTAAGGTTTGAAGGGTGCTACATAATACCCTTTCCTATTTTCAAAACCTAAACAGCCCTTTTAAACTTTTACTAAAAACTTGATAAATTGTTCTTAAAAACTTGACTTTTATTTTGCACTGTAAATTAGGAAATTTATAACGAAATGTGTGCCAAAAGAAAATGAATAGTAAGTAATCCAGGCAATGCATTTTGTAAGAAATTATGAAAAGACATGAAAGATTCCATGGGAAGGATATAATGGATTGTACATAAAAAGTTACATAATGAGCATCCATTCGAGGTAAAAGCCATGAGTACATATTTGAGGAAAAAGCCATGACTACACGTAATTCTTAACAGAATTTCTACCTACGCTAACGCGGTCACAAATAATTGAATTTATTTCTTTATCCTCTTTCCATCTTTCAATCAATTCTTGCCATAAGTTGTCTGTCAAAATTTTCTATCAATTTTTTCTATACTTAGCACGATTCTCTATTTGACGTCCTTTCTTCCCCCGATTTAATTTTTGTAATGGTAAAAGCATTAATGGCCAACAAAAAAAGCAACTGACTTACTTGATACAAATTTGAAGAATCCACCCATTTACCACTAGTTACCATGCTTGCCCTCAATTTGTCATGAAATTTACTTATTTGTCCTTCAATCCTTCTTCCCAATTTCAATTGGCAACCAGTACATACCATAAAATTAATAAACAACTCATTCTTCTCCACATGAATACATCATACTGCAAACGTGGGCCAATTACACTAGTAAAAAACAAATTTGGCAGAATAAAGTGTGTCAAACAAATGCTGATTTACATACAAATAAGATGTCAAAAAGATGGTTGAAAAGTCAACCCCCCCTTTCCTTTTTTTCAAATTTGATTGAAGAAATTCTAGCCAAATCATATCTCACAACATCATGTGTATATAAACCATTATATACATGTTGCACAACCAATAATGAATAATTATGATAAATCTAAATCGAATAAGAACGAAGCAAGACGATTTTAAAAGACATGTACAATTTCCAGGTTTCAGAACATAAGCATCAAATTTCAGTTGGTGGAGAAACCAGTCCTGATGACATTCTGTTCTAATAGTCTTGCATTGACAAACTCCTCCGAATATTGGTAACATTTGTATCTAAAACTAACATCGAGGATAAAACAACTGTGGTACACTGGTACTATACTTTAGCAAAGCAACCTCCAATATTTAATCTTCTATAGACTGCAATAGACCTACAAACTTGATTTGTTAAACCATTTCTCAATCTATATCCTGTATAATGCATTTTTCCTTATTGACGACAACCAAGAAATCTGTGATTGCATAATAAAAGAGAAAAATCACAGTTTCCAGGTTGGCAAACAATGAATTGAACAACCTAGAATAATGAACTCGATGATTATGTAATACAAACTTATAGACCTATCTCCGGCACAATAATGGCTGCAACTCCATTCCTAGCTTGCATCAGGACCTGCACAGTGAACGAATTCTCAACCGTTAGTGGGCATATATCTATGGAGGGAGGGAGGGGGCTGACCAGTTACTAACGTTCTATTTTTTCCCCAAAAGGTGACCACTCGGTCAGATTCTCAAACAACATAAGTTGCAAGAAGAGCATGCAACAAAGCCCAATAGATTATGACACCAAGTCGCAAAGCAGGTTGTCGCATTAGTGCCCGATCACATGACATCCTGGACAGAATTCATACAAAAGTAATAAATGAGAATACCATGAACATCAAATATATTTTATAGAAGTAGATTGGACCATACCACAAACCATCAACCATATTGGTTACTGGTCTCGTAAATTGGGGAACAAGTCTTGATGTAGTGAGCGACTTGAACCCATGAGCTGAAATTGAATAAAAAACCAGAGGAATGAAAGAAAAATGAGTCTTAACAGCTGCAAGTAGTTGGATTTACAGAGGCGATACAATGCTTTTCAATTACTATAGCTTAACAGCACATTATTACCTTTATCGTCATCATCCTCATCCAACCTGTCACTACTTGGATCAATGTCTATAGCCATGGCAACGTGATCACTATTAGTTTTCCGCAAACTACGAACTTGCGATGATGCAATGGTAGCAGGAGCTGTCCATTTGTTTGTCTATACCAGTAGATCAGAAGCGATTAGTACCAAAATATAATATTCCCAGTAAAAACAATGAGAAATAAAGAAAAGAAATAACAAGAAAATAACAAAAGGCTACATACAATCGGAAACTCTTAATGCTACCAACTTTAAAACCAGCAAAACACACCTATATCTAGGCACTTGGGCAAATTTGACGAATAAAATACTAAAATACTTAAATACCATACCACTTGTTCAACTTCCATGATATCCGACATAGCACTTGATACTTGTCCAGACTCTCCGGCACCTTGAAGCATAGTTAATTGAGACTCCTTTTCATGCAATGAATTCTTAAGATGATGTTCTTTTCGTGTCAACTCTTCCACCTTACCCCTTGCTTCTTGCAACAGCATATCACTGTTCTGGGTCACCGCACGAAGATTCTCCAATTCGGTCACAAAAGCCACTATCTGGTTCTGTAGTCTCTCTTTATATTCGTTAACCTGATCAACTTTCATACTATCAGAACCTAGATCATTCACCTGCACCGGAGTAATCAGTGTATCTAACCATGTCAGGAAATCATGAATTTCATCAGAGCTCCTTCTCTTGCTCATTTGGGTTGCAGATAGTGCATCATTAGTGCACCTTGTAACCTCTTGCCTAAGGAAAGATATCTCTCTATCCCGCTCTTGCAATTGTGACTGAAGCTTCTCAACTTCAGAAAGGAGACTTTCAGACAAATAATGAAGTTCATCAAACTTGCTCACTGTGACCGAAAGCTTCTTCAAAGCCTTCCCACGAGAAACTTCAAGGTTTTCTAATTGTTTGTTCTTCTGTTGCAATTCTCTTTCCAGCTCGCCAATCCTGTTTGTCAGGTTCTCCATTTGAGCCTCCTCCTCATCAAGTGCTTGCATCATTGCCTCATTTTCTGAAAGAGCATATCATTATGTAACTAAATTATTATGATGAAATCTAAATAGACACTACGTTATTACTTAAATAGAGATGCCGCTAAAAGAAGGCACTCAGCTGACCTTGTTCTTTCGCAGCTAGCACCTCCGATAGAGATTTAACTTTCTGCTGCAAGGCCTCAGACGTGGCTTCCAGATCTTTTGATTCTTTCATTCTCTGTTCCAATTCCTTGTGCTCCACTTCCTTCACATCCACCTGTTTTTGTAAATCATGTAGCTGAGCCCTCACAGACTGTAGGTCTTCTAAATGATTCCTTGCCTTAGCTTCAGCTACCTTTATTTGATTAACAAGCTCCATACAAATTCTGTCTTTCTCGATGTCCTTCCCCTGAAGTTCTTTCTGTAAATTGAATATTGTTTCCTTCATCTCCTTCTGTCTAACTTCCAGAATATCAGTTTGCATGCTTATGAAATCCTTCATAACCAATAATAATTTGTCTCGGATGGTCCTGATGCCTTCCTCATGAAAAGTGTGGGCATCACTGGTAAGATCACCTCCTCCAACAGACGCTAGAGACTTTAACTTTGTTTCCAGAGCTCCAAGGGACAAATCATTTCCAACCATATGGGTCTTCCTATTTTCGATTTCAAAAATCACAATGTTAAAGGCTTCATAAATCAAGGAAACGTTTCTACGCATAGTAAATAATTCAGAACCCCTCTCTTTCTCAATGGATTCTAACTGTTCAACACTTCTCTTCATTGCTTCAAGAGACTGTTTCTGAGAAGAAATTTCTGTACGAACAGTCTTTGCTACTTCAGATAAACGACACGCTTCTTTGTGTAGCAAATGTTGATGATTGGACAATCGCTCCTTGAGAGCACCAATTTCTGGCATTAAAACCTGTGGATGACAAGCAACAAAAGTAAAAGGTAAGGCTCCAGTATGTTACAGAGTGAGACTCTCCTGAATAGATGGCCATAAAAACTAGCAGGATATCTGACTCCTCTGTTTCTCTGTTTCACCATTGCCCTTTCCTATCCCTCCTCTCCACTATTTAAAAGAAGCTCGTTCCCTAACCATCTTCATCAGTATTTTTATTGTCGGCAAAAAGATAAAAGAGATTAGAAGAATGTATAGAACAAGAAAAAGAATGATGGAAGACGAATGAATCTGAAGAATGAGTCAAGCAAAGCCAAGGATGTCAATATACATAAAACTTAACATCAAGAAATAATTTACCTTCTTTTCTGGTTTTACTGAAATGATGCTACCATGGGAACTAAATAGATCACTCAAGTCAGGCTCATCACCTAGTTCCAGAAACGATTTCATACTGGCTTCTGTATTCTGCAAAACTTCCAAGTCCTTGGAGAGAACATCCCCCAATACATTGTCAATGGTAAAAAGCTCCTCCCTCAATTGATCCATGACAGATTTTATCACCGTGACTTCAGCTAGCTGTCTGTCCTTTTCCTCAGCATGGATATCAGACAGCTTTTCAATGTGTACTAGAGCTTCATGTTTGGCTGCTTCAGCTAAATCCTTTTCCTTGGAAAGTTCTGAGAGCTCACCGGAAGCTTTTTCTAGCTCCTCTTGAAGGACATCATTTCTTTCTTGAACTTCATTCAACTCTGCCAGCAGTAGCTCGGCTGCTCTTTTTGATTTCCTTGATTCTTGTTCAGTAGAACCCAGAGCTGTCTGCAGACCATGGCAGTGTTTCCCAATTTCTTTCAGCTTCTCAACTGGATTGCCAATATTGCGTGCAAGATCAACATCAATATTGCCCAAAGTGTCTAAAATCATGCTCAAGCTACTCTCTTTCTCTTGCAAATAGCATACACGGTCTTTAAGGAACATATTCTCAGATTCTAAATCTTGCACCCTTTCTTGGTTCACAGACAAGTCCTTGATCCTTTGGTCATACTCAAGAACAACATTTTTGTTAAGCTTGATCTCGGATTTCAGGCGCTCCACCTCAGCTGTTAGCTCTTCAATCACTTGCTTCATGCCATCCCGCTGTTGAACCAAGGACTTTCCTTTTCGAACAGCAACATTTAGCTTCTCTCTGAAAGAAGCTGACTTCTGTTCCTCCTGATTAAGCAGCTCTTGCAGTTCATTCTTTTTAATTTCTAGTGCTTCAAGATCATGGACTAAAGATTGATTATTCTGCACGCATTCATCTTTCTGTTGCTTCAAAAATATCAATTCACCCATACAATCCTCCAGTTTTTTGCCCATAACCACTACATCCTGCTCATCAGCATTTCTTGGAATGTGAGTGAGCTCAACTTTTTCACTAATGTGTGCGTCAGCCGAGTCACCATTACTATGTTTCCCTGACATAAGTGTTTTATATCCTTCTACAAGCTTCATCACCAGTGCTTCGAAATACTCAGTACCATCCTGACAAAATACCACATCTTCTGTACCAGAATCCTGAAGAACATCCTTAACAAAATCCTGCAGTCTTCTTATAGTAGCCTCAACGAGACGAATATCATCTTCAAGCCCTTGCTTCTGTTCCAGTTTCTCTTGCAATAAACTTAGTTCATTATTAAGGTTTCCATTGTTTATTTCAAAACCAGCAGCTTTCTTTGAGATTTCATCATAATCATGAGTAAGAATCTCCAAGTCCTTCGAAAGAATTTCTTTGTCTCTGCTAGCCTGCTGAAAAGCTGATATAACCTTCATCACCAGTGCTTCAAAACATTTGATACCATCCTGACCAAATACCACATCACCTATACCAGAATCCTGAAGAACGTCCTTAACCAAACCCTGCAGTCTGCTTATAGCAGCCTCAACAAGACGAACATCTTCTTCAAACCTGAGCTTCTGTTCCAGTTTCTCTTGCAACAAACTTAATTCATTATTAAGGTTTCTGTTGTTTACTTCAAAACCAGCAGCTTTCTCTGAGATTTCGTCATAATCATGAGCAAGAATCTCCAGATTCGTTGTAAGAATTTCTTTCTCTCTGCTAGCCTGCTGAAGAGCTGAATCTAGCTCGAACATTCTTCTTTGTGTATCCACTAGGTCTGCAGTTAGGGACTCACAAGATGTTTCAAGGTTTTCAATCTTCTGCTGGAGGGAATAACGCTGGTTCCGAGCCTCTGATAATGCACTTTCCAACCACTGAATCTTATCATCAGGTTCCATGGACCGCAACTGAGAAGGCATATCTACCCTGTCCAAAATTTCTTCCCACTGCTGCACAAGATTGTTCCTCTCCATCAATGATTGTTCAAGCATCTCATTTTGCTCGGCCAACCCATAAAATTTGCTCTGCAATTCCTCAAATCTTCTTCTTACGTCATCACTGGAATTTGGATTGGGCTTTGTGTTATCCTTCAAGCCATCCACATCACCAAATTCAGCATCAAAGTATGATCCTCCTCCCACTGAGCTTCTCGGTTCCCGACCAGGAAGAGGCAAAGAGTTCCCTGTAACAGATTTTGCTAACCAATCAATCTTTTCAATGATATCTCGGCAATGGAAGTCCTCAGGCAGCTCTAGATCTTCAAGAATCTCTTCTATCCTCTGAAGAACAGAATCTTTAAGAAGAAACGATTCTCTTAATACAGTAGCAGAGTTGCGAATGTACGAGAGCTCAGATTCCAGAGCTTCCATGCGTTCACCAGCCTCCGAATAGGCCTTTAGTTTTGTTTCAAGTTCATGAAGCCTGGTGTCTTTCACTAGCAGCTCCTGAGAACGTTTCTCCAGCTCTTTGGATGTCTCAGCTAGGGATTGCTTAAGACCGTCACGCTGTGAAATCAGACCCTTCCCCTTTGTAACAGCAATACTTAGTTTCTCTCTAATGGATGACACCCGCTGATCTGACTGTTCAAGTTCAGCAGCTTTCTCTTGTAGTTTGAAAGTAAGGGTAACTACATCCTCTTCAGCACTTCTCAAACTTTGCTTGAAAACAATATTTTCATTTTCATGTTGCACAAGAATGAAATTCAAGTGTTCAATTTGTGCCTGCAAATCACTTAATTGCATTTTCCAAGAAGAAGTCTCCTCTCTTGACATGCTTAAACTCCCAGCAGCCTCTTTATATCTTGTAATTAGTAAACGGATGAGAGACTCTAGACGTGAGGCAGGTTCATCTGAGGAAATTTCAATCCCCTCCGGCCTGACTGATTGTTCAATATCTTCAACTAACTTCAAAATAGCATCAGACTGAAGACAACTTTTCTCCAGTTTGTCAATGTCTCTAGCTCTGTTCGTCAACTCTGCATTGAGTTCATTATGTGCAGACTGAAGCTTCATTCTCTCACCAAGAAACGTGTTCAGTTGCTCCAAGAGGGTGTCAAAAACACCAGGATGTGAAAGATCTTGCGAGTCACATCTTGACCAAACAGTTTCAGTTTCATCCTTGTATCCTGATGCTTCACCGACAAGTTTGCAGAGGTCATCATAAAGTCTATTCAATGTATTGGTAGTCATTTCATTCTTGCGTAGCAGAGTATTACATTTCTCATGCTTATCGTTGTAGGCATCCCACAGTGCTTGATGATCTTTGTGCAAAGCTTCAAGTTGATCTTGCAGACCTACAATCAGTTGGGTGGCAAAATCCACACAAATGGCAACACGGCTAACAACATCCAGGTTGTTATCTATGAATGCGAATGAGGTGGAGGAACGAAGTGGATCAATGCTAGCATCCAACTCACCAACTTTCTGAAGAATCTGAGCAACATTAGAACTCCATTCTTCTTCCAGTACTGATTCCCTTTCAACTACTTCTTTCTGGAGTGTTATAATTTGATTGGAGATAGAAGTGACCATTTCATTTGAATTTTGACATGTTTCATCAAATTGTCTCTCTAATTCACTAATTTTGGGCAGAAAGTCAACCAGCTTTTCTCGAAGCTCATTATTATCTGATTTCAGAGCATGCTCTTGTTTCTGTAAGGCATCACATAAAATAACAAGCTCATCCTCTCTTGCAACAGCGTGACATACAAGCTCCCTTGTAGCTTCATATAGAACCATAAGCTCTAAGTTTGCTTCTTCTAGATGATCACCGTGCTCCCTCAGAGAATCATAGTCACTCCTCAGCTCAGCACCAGCCCCAGCAGCAAGCAATTTAGTCTCCTTCATCCCCCTACAGAATTCACTGGCATTCTCGGCATCCAGAATTAACTCCTTGAGCAGTGCTCTCAGATTTTGAGCTACTCGTTCAGCTATAGTGTATAGATCTCCTGTTGTTTGGTCTTCAGAAGAAGGGGGGTCCTCTGAATCATCATCGTCAGTGTGACTATTTGACTCAAAGGCTTGAATAAGTTTTGATACTCCAGATCCAACTACTTTACCACTCGACCCACTCAAGGAGGTTGAGTGAACATGCATTTCTTCAATTGCCTTCTCAAGTTTTTGCATCACATTCCCAGCATCCTCCAGGTGTCTTTTCAGTACGACAAACCCGAAAGAATCATCATATGTGTCCATTTTCAGTCCATTCTGAGATGGTCTATCTGCATGGCATTCAGATGCAGCCTTCTCTGATATCAGAATTTCACCATCCCTACTCACTTTAAGTGGGGACAGTGGACTTGATAATGATGTTTCGAGTTCTGCTGACTCGTGCAGTTGGTTCTCATTATCACTGAATTTTGTTTCCTTCTTTTCTTCAAGCTTGTTTCTCTCCTCTGTTACGGAAGTGAGAACCCCATTTAGGTGGGAGATGTCTGCCTGAAGAGCAGCCACCAAATCTTTGCTGTCCATCAACTCTTTTGATAGTTTCTCATTCTCCTGCAGCATAAAATCTCTTTCATCTTCGAGCACCTTTCTCTTTTCCAGTTCTGATAGAAGGACATCATTCAAATTCTTGTTTTCCACCTGAAGAGCTTCAACCATCCTCTTATAATTGGACAAGTCAGCAAGCAATTTTTCATTCTCATGAACAACAAATTCCTTGTCATCCTCAAGCTTCCTCCTCTCTTCTCTAAGTGAAGCCAGATTTTCAGTCAAGTCTATAATTTCTGATCGCAGCAACTCCAAAGAAGCCTGGCACTGAGCTAACTCTCTAGCCATTTTCTCATTCTCAAGCACAGTGTGCTCATTCTCCTCTTGAAGTTTATTTTTCTCCTTGGTCATCAGATTAGAACTCTGATTTAAGTTTTCATTTTTAATCTGCAAAGTTTCCACCAAATTCCTGGAATCAAGCAACTCTGAATTCAGGATTGACAAGTCTCCTTGGTTTGTTTCAAGTTTATTCTGCAACTCATTGACTTTGGCAGAAAGTTCTTCAACCTCGAATATTGAAAAGTGAAGCTGCTTTTGGAGCTCTTCCCTCCCAGAAACAAGTTCCTTAACTTCAGACCTACACTGTGCAAGTTCTTTGGCAAGCACTTCATTTTTCCCTTGAACTTCATTGAGTGATGTACTGGCCATCGATATCTCATCAGCAAATTGTTGATGTTCAGAGATCTGTAAGCGAAATGCATCCCTTGCAAAACTTGTCAGATATAAATGTTCTTTGATCTGCTCAAAAGCATCATTAAAAAAATGCTCATGCACCTTCACGTTGTCTGTACTTCTTAATGTTTCAGAAGATAATTCTCTTGACATGAACAAGAACCTAAATTCATCTTCATCAAGGCTTTGTAATATATCTGATAACTGGGAGAGGCTGATTAAACTTCCATCAGATCCAGAAGGCAAATTCACCTTCTTCTGTCCTATGGACTTCTCAGCAACATTAGTATTGAACTCAAAAGATCTTTCTGCATTACTATCACCAAAATTTACTTGAGTGCCTTCAGCATAGTCACCTGACACAGAAACCATTTCTGTCTTCTCTCTGAACGACGAATCAGATAATAAATCTTCTCTCCGCAGACCAATCACCTCAGAACTTGTAGCTGATATTACTTCTGAATCAGGTAAAGGTTGTGTGACATGCCTCCCTTGAGCGTCATCAGCATCATTGATAGCAACAACAGATGACGAAGAATCATCAGGCTCTCGTTGTGTGTCCAGCTGGGTAACTTCGGCCACTTCGACACTCCCTGAAACAGGCACCATATGGCCACCTGCACCGTCGTCAAACTCATTTGAAGAAAGTCTAGATTCTCCTTCAAGCTGCATCACGCTGCCAGCATTAACTTGAATCTCACCAGAAGTGCCAACTTCCTGCACAGCCCCTAACCACAACCAGAAGAAATTAAGTATAAGTCGGTACCAGAGTGTTAAAAACATATAAAATTATATGGGGAAAGAAGACCATCAAAAGTGAAGGCACAAACCTACATCTGTTACCTGCTCTTCCCCATGCTTCTTCTCTGGGTGGGATGAAAAACCAATGGGCAAAGATATACTGGATTCTGTAGATTCCTCTTTGGGAACAACTAGATCTAAAGTTCCTGACATATTATGATCCACGTCCTCAGGATGTATAGAAGAATATCTACCTCCATGTGCGATTGACAAATCAACATCATCATGTCCATCACCAGAACTATTATCCCACTTGGTCTCAGCGACTCCAGAATCCTCTAATGGGAACTTGACAGTCCCTGCAACCAACTCTGTGGTTCCAAATATACCAGTCTTCGCTGACAGATCATCAGTGGACTCTGACAAAGGAATATGATATTCAGCATCATGCCCAGATCTTTCTCTAACTGCAACTTTGTTTGGTTTTGGCACCGGTTCACTGGGAGCATTTGTACTCGCATCATGGCCAGAATTAGAGGATTTGCCTGATGATTTGCTAGTATTCCCTTTATTATCCTTCTTCTGCCTGAACTGTTGAAGCTGATCACAGATAAACCGACAGGTCAAAATTGAATAAAAAGAATCGAACTGTTTCCTGATGATAATAACAGCCGTAGATTGGAAAACTATTGTGTAATTACATGTATTAATTACATAAAAAACAGCTGCTATCGAACACCAAATTAGGATTCTTAACATCCAAAAAGTGTGTCTAAACAATGCATATCATAATTATTGACAATTTTTTTGAAAAAGCTGCCAATATTCTTTTGGATATGGAAATTACAACAGCAACAAATAATCAAAGCCTTATTCCTAGTAAATTTGGGTCAGCTAAATGCATACTCTCTAACCAGTCGTTTATATTCATTGCTACCTCTTGGAAAATCCAAAACAACTAGAACCTTAGCAACAACAACATGCCATGTTAATTTGATCTATCCCTCCCTCTCATAATATGTTCTACTGAGATCGCACGACACTTAAGAGTTGAAGCTTTGTTAGGTTTACACAAGACATGCCTCAACTATCGAAGTCGTCTTCCCCTTAATTTATCTCAATCAGTACCATTTCTACTTGTAGGCATATATTCTCATTTTTAATCTTACTCATTCTAGTATGACCACACATTTACCACGGCATTCTAATTTCAGTTATCCTATGGGCATTTTATTCTTTAACAGTCCAACCTTCAGTATGCAAGTCTAATATTTGTTCAATAGAATTTGCTTTTTAACCTTATTGAGATCTTCATGTCACACAAAATTCTTATAGCATTTCTCAATTTCATCCAGCTTGCTTTAATCTCTGCATTACATCCTCTTCAATTCCTTCTCGCTAATCAAACCTAAATACTTAAAAAAACCACATTTTTGACAGCATAATTGAAAGATAAGATAACAACTTGAAGCAAAAACTTAATGCAACCACATAGTACACGTGCGCTCAAATTTCCCTGATGACTGACTACACAGCAACACATTTCTAGTTAAATGTTGATCAGTGGTTATGGAAACATTAGTTTGGAAATACGGAATGAAGCCAGTTCCTAAGATTAATGAAAGAACATATAAAGTTTATGATACGATGAAAGACTGCTCCTATTCCCACATTGAAATACACAGACTCATCTTTATTTCCAGAAGTGCACATTAATTTTCATTTCTAGGAGTCAAAGAAAAAGATTAATATACACCAGCACAATAGAGGTCTAACATTTTAAAATAAATTTAACTATTACCATCCATTTCTCAATAATGTTAACAATTTCTAAGAAATTCCTATACCCACTAGAAATGATTTTTTATTTTTATTTTTTTTGAAAAAGGAGAGAAAAATATACCCTTTTACGTCCAGCAGCAAGCAGATCGGTGCGGTTCTTATTTTTGTCCATCCAATCCAATTTACAATTCAACAGTTCAATAGCTCTCAATCACCGTTGAATCAAGCAGATCGCCCTAAAGTTTCATACAAAAGGAAGAACAGATAAATACAATCACAACTATTAAAATCAGCGGAAATTCATAAAATGGAGAGAAGAATTTCATACATCAAAACTGCGATTGGACGGTGGCGTAGAATCGAAGGTGTGTGGGGTCTCTTAGATCTAACACCGAAACAGTGTTTGGTGAAATTTTTGGTAACAGGGATGGGAGTAGGATTTGGCCCAGCTGTGCCTGCGGTTACGTTTGGTGTATTGTTGGCAAAATTTGGGAAAGAAGAAAGAATTTACTTTCCACAATTAAAAGAAAAGAAAATATAGGAAATGGGCTTCTCAATTGGTCAAATTTTGAGTAGGATCTACTCTTTCAGCGCTTGATTGAAAATGAAAAAAACTTAAAAAGTGGTCAAAAAGTTGATGTTAAAGCTAATAATTAATTTCAATCACAATTTTATTTTTTTTAATATTTATTTTATCAATTTTTATTAAAATTCGTTAAAATTTTTATTATAAGCTTTGTCAAATAGACCATTAACTTTGTTTAACATAGATGATAGACCCACTACTTTCCGTCCAAATTTAAGTTTAGGAAAAATTGTATGTTCGTCTTCAATTTATTGAAGTGATTGCTTTATTATTAGTACTAATACGAATAATGTTATTTGTAGTCGCTCACTATCGTAGTCGCCATATGTGATGATTAGTGATTCGTTTTATAAGGTAATAAAAAAATATCAAATTAATGTATCAAATCACTAACTGCCATATGTAAGCCACATAGACGACTACAACAGTGAGCGACTGCAAATAGTATTGTCCATACAAATACTTTACCATACTGCATTACCAAAAAAATAGTTTAAGGTGTGGAGATTTTCTTGCAAATGTGTCACTATCAATGTTTTGAAAATCGAATCGACCCAACCAATTCGAGCGAAAACCTGTGAATCAATCCGTCAATCAGTTCGATTATATCATTTTAACCATAGATACGAAATCGATAAAAATCCAGTAAAATAATCAATTCAACTGAAAATCAATGAATTTGAGATGATTTTACTGAGTATTCAACTAGCTTTAAAAAAAATTAAGAAAGGATCTTCAATTATTTGACTTGCCTCAAGTTATGTGAAAGACTATCATTGATATGCACATATACATGCAGGATATTTATGCCAAATAAGCTACTGAGGATGAACAAGAAGGAAGAAGTCGTTTGATAGAATTGAGAAGAAGAAAATGAGAAGTAACAGCATCTTCTATTGCAATTTTGTTGTTCAAAATCGAGTGTGAATGAATTGAAAGAAAAAAAATCATGCCATGAAAATGGCTTATGCGATCGCATAGGCCTTGGAGGCTTGCAACAGCATGTGACCCTCCTATGCCAAAGGAGGGGGCCAAGGCTATAGCCATGCGGTCGTGTAGCTATAAAATTCAGTCGTTGCTGGATTTTTTGGAATTTTTTGATAGTTTTCTTAATTAATCATTGCACATCTTCTTATTGAGTTGGAACCATTTCGTGTATGAATACATGATAGCATTCGTCCCTAAAAACCATGAAAAACATTCTACTATTCATCCAAACTTGGAAGAAATTATTGATTCTTTACATATTCAAAATCACAGTTTTCACTTGTTCATTTGAAGAATTATTTTGTTTTTGGTTTTCTTCTTTGAGGCTTGATAAATCCTACAAACTATTTCTCATTTTAATCCTTTAAAAGCATTGTAAGAGGAAGTAAATATCATTTGAGGACAACAAATTTTCATGTTCAATTCTTCTTCAGATGTATCTTTTTCATCATCTTCTTCTTTTCTCCATTCTGTAATTTTTCCAACATCTTCATGAAATGGCATCGGCTTTTAGGTTTATTACATTACTGGGCCTTTCTATATCGTGTGTAGTTGATGACTTTTTTTGGATTAATATTTTTGTTATGAAATGGTTATTAAAAAATATTAACAAATGGAAAAAACTTAAAATACTCTTAAACTTAATATTAGTTTTTCATAATGTAAATACTTATATAATAATATATATTTATAAATAATATATATCCATATAAGATTTTATTTATTTAGTTAATTTAATTTTCGGGTTGACCCTAATTTAGCCCCTGTTTGATTAACATTAAATTAAATTACATTACATTCCATTTTTCTCTCTCCTATTTTCAACCATACAATCTTCTATAAAATAATATTACACGTAAATCGAAAACTTTACCTTCTTTTTCAACCACTCATTTTTCTAAAAAATACTATTCCCCCCATTACCATTTTCAGGTAATGGGGGCCAAACAGGGTGTTAACTTCGATTCGACCTTCACCCTTTTCTTTATTCGGGACAATATTCAATCTGATTTTTAAAATAGTGGTCAATATAAAAAGTGGTTAGTAGTTAAAAAATAATTAATTCAAACCTATCAATTAATTATATTTTTCTCTTACAGATTTATAGCTTTACCTTTTAATTTTTTTGGTGATGTGCTAGCATTTATCTCAAATAGATTAGCTACTCAAGCTGATTTTAAGTTTTCCTAACTCGATAACTTGCAACTCAACCCACGATTGCACACTTTGTCGAAAATCAACAAGAATCGACGGGGTTGACTTGTATATACTTCAACCCTTATAAGTCATGCATTTTAAAACGAATGGAATCGACAACTCAGAGATAGTTTGAGAATAAATATTTTTGTAATAATTTTGTAACATTAAACCCATGTTTGATGGTAATTGTTGGGGGCGGGGGGGGGGCGAGGGGGGGAATGATATTTTGAATAGCGGTTTTTTTAGAATGTGTAGTTAAAAAATAGGAAAACGATTTGGATTAATATGTAAAATATTTTATGGTGTGAATGTGTGGTTGAAAGTGAGTATGAGAATTAAAGAATTTTATTTTAAAGGGAGATCGGGGGAATCAATATTCAATTATTTAAATTATACCACAAAAAAAATAAAAAAAATAAAAAATAATTGTACAATATGTGAATACTCGGGCCTCGTTTGGTACACATTAATGTAAAAATGAGAATAAAAAATATAGCCGTTATAGGCTCCACACAAGAGATAGAAATTCAAATTTGGTGGCTTGATGTGATGAATAACGGTTATATTTTTCATTTTAATGAAGAAAAAATGGAAAACAAATAGGGGCTCAATTTTGTTGATAATATATTTTTATTTATTATTGACAAAAATGACTAAGGGCCTGTTTGGTGTTGGTTATGAAAATCAATATTTTGGCCGCTAGCTTGAAAGGTGAGTCCCACCTGTGAATGAAGATATCAAAAATGACGGCTGACTATGGTAAGTAACGGTCAAAAAATTGATTTTTTGTTTTGAAAAATCAAAACCAACGGAGGCTAAATTAAATCAGGATTTGGATTTATTTGATATAGCCTTATTTGGTAGAGATTAAAATTAGATTTTTAATCTAAACAAGAGCATAATCTAATTAGAATTGGGCCTCCATTTACGCACTTCAAATAGGACATGCAAACTTAACACAAATAATATTGAGCCTCTGTTTGACAATTGTATGTGGTGCACAATGTTTTGGAAGTTTCACAGTTACAAACAACAAAGTTTGACACTGATATTTGTAAATCTTTTAATTTATATCACATTGCATTTGTTCAAAATTAATAACTAGTACCAAGGAGTAGAGAAGGCCCAATCTAATGCTAGACTCCAAAGGATTGCACTTAGCAGTTAGCACGCACTATTAACGTTCAAGGACGAATTCAAAAATTTAAAGGGAAAAGTTCAAAAGTCAGCGGTTAAGTATGACAAATTCAATTTTTAGGTGTCAACTTTCAAAATGCAAAACTCAGGTAGTAACTAATTAATTAAAAAATATTTATTAATTAAAATTAATAAGTCTACAAATATACAACTAATGGTCACATATACATAAATATAGGTCACAACTTTTTTACTAATCACATATACTCTAATTAATTGGTAACAGATTATTTTCAAATCACAAATCTAAAATTTTGTAGGTCACAGTTTCTTTCATGGATCACAAATCAAAAATAAAATAAAACTATAGGTCACGTTTATTATCAACCACGGATTTTCAAATATTGGCCATAAATTATTTTTTAGTTACAAATTATCGAATTTTAAGATCACAGTTTAATAGTTGATCACAAAGAACCAAATCGTCGGTCACTTGCACCAAACAACCGACCATCGATCCAGATCCACCTCCAATATTAATTGGTCACAAATCAACCAAATAGTTAGTCACAATCACTATCCTACCCACCCTTACCACAACACCAACACGACCATCGCCAACAACAAAAACGACCATCACCACGACATCAACGCCTGCACAATATCACCATAACCATCGCCTAAAAATAAAAACGATCACAACCTCACGACAGGTCTTTTTCTGTAGTGACGTCACTGTGCACGCGATTCAACATCACAAACTTTAGATCCACCACCACAAAACTGTCAGCACACAAAACTATCACCACCACCACCACATAAAACACCATCCAAACACACCCCAACAGCCAAATCCACCATGCAACCAAGCAAACCACCAATGACCAAAAAAAAAAAAAAAAAAAAAAACACACAGACACACACAAAGTAGGAGGCAGCAGCTTTCATGGCCCCGCCATCTCCAGTAATGGATGAAGCGCCTCTTTGAGAAGGAAAAATGTGCAGCAGCGCACAAACCTACACAAATCGAGAAAATTTCAGCCATCACTTCATGTAGAGATTGCCATCGCAGCGCTTCAGCTCATAGAGGCTCCGATCTCTTTGTTACAGCAGCATCACGATGCTACTTACATGGTGGCGACGGCAGCGACGACAGACATAGAGGAGGACATGAGAGGGAGAGGAAGAAGATGGAGAGTAGGAAGAAGATGGAGAGTGAGAAGAATGAAATGATAGGGTTTGCAATTGAATTGTATGGAAATATTTAATATTTGATTATTATGTTAATTCCTGTTATGTGAATAAAGAAACTTTAACCCTGATTTTTGAATAGTGATAATTAAACAATTGGTACAGTGTAATTTCCTCAAATTTAAATTTATGGGGGTTGAAATTTTTTCATTGGTTCTGGCTTGGGACTGGATCGGACTATAGCTAGGTCAAGCCACCATAGCCGCCCTTGCAACATACTATGTAGGACCCAACAGTGAATTGCCATCACATCCAACTTGATCATGACATATATGGATTTCGCATAAGCAATGGTCATTGATTTTAATAGGTTACTTGTCTCAAAAGAATCTATTATTCTTTTCC